TTTTCAGCCTAGTATTTTACTTTTAAGTTCCTAAGTAGCAGCCATATTTGAAGCAGCAGTGTCAACAATTCTATTTCTTTTTATGACCGCTCACGCGATGCGCTCCTCCTACCGCAAAATGGCGGCTATTTGGTTTCGCAAATTAGAAAAGGATTCAGTTTAAATACAAGTTTTTATAAATAAAAATTATTATTCTGCATTGCTAAATAAATACCCTCCGTACTACCAACAAAAATATCTCAAGTAAAACGCAGTAAAACACCTAAATTTCATAAAAGCACTAATGAAATTTTTGGTGTACTTGGATACATATGATAATATTCCGTTTGAGTGGTTCTAACGTTTACCATGAAATTACTCTTTAAAGTATAGTTTATAAACATTTATATTCAGGGTAAACTTAAAAAACGCCACTTACGGTATGTTTTCAATAAATAAACACCGAAATCATCAGCCCAAACAATAACATATACGATTGTCGTGACGTATTTTTGAAGTTGTTTTCTTTTTTTTAAATGACAGACCCAGGCATTAAAAACTTTATGGTTTGCTAGAGTAGTTACCGAAATAGCAATTAATATTAGTTCTTATACCTGTTATAACTTCGATAACCGATAAATCGGTATAAAATCATCACCGGCACCTCTAGGTGTGGTATGCGTCTACGGCTGCATGTATCGCGTGAGCGGATAATATCTAGTGACGGGACGAACAAGTCGTGCGCCTGGTCGTAACCTACACGCCTGTCCATAAATAAATACGGTTTGAGTCACCCTGAGACATTAGTTGCACAACACTCGTGTGCCTGTAATTTCACCAGCACCCTTACCCTTCAAAACCGGAACACAGCAATGCTGACATTACTGTTTGGCAGCAAGAATCGATAAGGTGGCAGTACTTCCCTGGTCGAACTCTTTCACAAGGAGTTCTACTGCTACTAGGGTCTTCTATTAGGGTCGTACGTTGCTGCGCAGCGACGAGCATGGTGACAACTCAGCGAGTGCTGTACCTCACGGAAGCGAGAAAGCCGGCAGTTGTATTTAGTTTGTAGGCAGTTACGTTAGTTGTAATGGCGTGCCTAAACTAAACTTACCAGGTTATGGAGCAAGTCGTGAATTCAGCTCTTCCCTGTCCATCTTTCACTTCAATCTTGAAATCTCCTTCGGCGTCCGTTTGTACTTCAGTCTTGTTCCGCAGGTCATCCAAATCCTTAGCTAGATTCATTTTTATGAACACTTTTGATACGAGTTTTTTCCTTCGCCACTTGTACATCTGTTATTCGTACCGAGAAAGTAGACGTAGCCTAATTGGATGTAGCCCTACATTGTTTCGTAGGCGTAGATTTAGAAGAGCTTTTTATTACAACCTCGAGTTATAAGTCGAGACGTAGACGTTTTCATGATAAGAAGTAGTATAAAAGCAACGAGCGACCGGTACAGTGTTGATCGCATAACTAATGAGATCATTACCATAGCCCTTTGAATTTTTTACCGGTTGAATACTGCTTTTTGAAAGAATATTCTTTTAGTTTACCAAAATAATATAAACAGTGCTAGAAACCTAACGTAACAAAGGCATTTCAGCACATTTTTTAAAGCTGACAAAGAACTAACGCCGCAAACACCATCAAAGCAAAATTTTACTGAAAAGTTGGGCGTCTCCAGGAAATCATTATCAGAAGCAGAAATCTCCGTGTTCTTTTTGGTTAGTAAGCAGCCCTCTGGCACTTTGTCCCGTAGAATCAAACGTTTCATTAAATATAAAAATAAATGACGCAAACACCACTTATTTGCAACTGGCACAAACATAAAAAAAATGTTGCGATCTCCAATAAATTTCATACAGAAATAATATTAACAAAGCTAATTGAACAATAAATTATGAAAATTTTGAACACCCAACTTCGGGGAATCTTTAATATACATAGGTAATACAGCTAGTACAGTCAAGAGCACATCAAGCTAGCAGGTTGGACTTTGGATAGCATTTGACCCTAATGGACCTGACAAATCATTTCTCGCTAATTATATCAGTGGCATTTCATTAAAACACGTGTTTGACTCTGGATTGGGTAAGCGATACTGGGGTCTTTGACACCCCGGACACTCCATACAACAGCCCCATATCTTTCTACATCAGTTTTGATTATAGTGACCCAGAGGGTATACGAGAAGGGCACTATAACCTGTGCGCCTAGTGCCTCGGGTGAGCCGCCCCGGGTGTACATACAGTACCTTCCCTATTTTCCAGATAGATACCAGAGCTGTAGGCACGCTCGCTTCCTGTTGCGCATTGCACAACTAGCGTTTGCCACCGCTAAGCCGTCGACTCTGACACTTCATAAAACAGTCGAAAGTTATTTACCTACTACTACTACATACAGCAAGGCGTTATATGCACACGCGCGACTGTGTGCATGAAGGGGCATGGTTACCCATCACTTTATCGTATTATTATTACGTTAGGACGCGGTCAGAGCGGCAACATAGCGAAAATTCTAACGCGAATCTATGTTATGAAAAATCCTAATAATGATACATGTTCGTTATTTATGTCGGTATAATATTATGTTTTTCATTATTCACTAATTAGAATAATATTGAAGACTTATTTAAAAAATAAATTAAAAGCACTTAAAATTTTAAATTTGGGGCAGGTACTTTTAAATAAGGTAGCCAAGGTGTTTGTCATTGCGTGACCAAGTCTATCATTGTCTAGTTAATAATTAGGTATATTCACTACGTAATGTTTATCGGCAATACAAATTGAAAATTCGAGAACCCTTGTCAACTAGCTCACGAATTTATGGTGTTATATTGATATAATAAATCTGTATTATATATTACTCTGTGCTCTGCACTAAATAAATGAAGAAAACAATAACTGAATGAGTCACAGACATTTTTTTTTACTTACTTCGTTTCATCTTTCGGAAAACGAAAGAAGCTTCTCTTTTTATCCCGTTTAGATGATGAGAAACAGCCATACACAGCACTACTCACGACCATTTTATATAAGAACGTACAATGCTGTTATATATATTATGCTGTATAACGAAACTTATGCGTTATTCGTAATGAATAAATGAAAACTATGTTCAAATATCAAAACCGTCTTAGCGTGAAAACCACTCGTCGATAGCCTTGTTGTCGTTCCGTCAATGTGACCGTCAATGTGCGGGCCGTGGTGCGGTATCTAAAGCTAGGGAGGGGCGGAGAGTGTCCGTTCTCATTACTTTTTATTCTCTCCTCTTGGTGAATAAAATTACAACGAGTTTCTGATTGTGATCTTAATATTAGTGTTTGAAACTTTCGTTCCAAACGCCATGCCAACTTAGATATGGAACGAACTAGCGGAGCTTACGAATTTTTCTATGTGTTTGTTGCAGATCTTCATCAATAATAAAAAACGATTTAAGCGTGATTACAAAAAACATATATTGTCAGAGCAGATGTGTCTCGCTACATAGATATTTCCCTAATCAATGCGTTCGATACCTGTAAACCTAAATTTCCGTATCTATACATACTCATATTTGGAGGCTACTGTTATAATTTAATTTATGTTTGTAAACTTACATTATTATTTATATTGCTTACCTTCATTACTTACACTATTTACATTGTTTGCTTTACATCTTACACTTTTGCTTGACATATATATGTATAGTATTTAGAGTTAGGTATATATATTTGCGTGTGATGCACTTTGGTGGCATGGCTTACTGGGCTGCGATCGCTCACCATATGGTTCTGGCAGAAAACCAGCACTGTTTGACTTCTCTCGGTCTACTGTATTTATGCTGAGTCAGGGCCATTTCAGCACAAACTGTAGTCATAGGTACATTAAAATTTTATCAGTTCTTATAGTATTTGTTTGTTTTTCTCGCAACATGTGTTTTATATAAATGTGTATAAAAGTAATAATGAATGTTCTATGTGCTTTTATGTTATACTCTGTGAAGTGATTGTAAATGTTTTGTTTCTGTTTGTATTTGTGCTGAATAAACGTGTTATCTATCTATCTATCTATCTTTGTTTTTTATTTTAATGACTTTTCACAAATAATAAATATCGTGGTGGTCAAACACCATGAGTTTAATAAACTTAAAAATTACTATTGTTATAATTATTGCTTTAGCACATCCGTGTCAAAAATATACTTAGTAAAATTCACACAACTTTTTGTACCTAAGTGTAAAATTTATATATACTCAACCTATTTCACAAAGCTTAAATAGAATACAGTTAGCAAACTTGTTAATTTAAGTTTAACATTTTAGGGTATAATTAAATAACGTAATATTTTGTTGATTCGTAAGTACTTTGAAGACGCTGATAAACTTCCATTTAAACTTTCCATCTTTGATCATCGTAGAATGGAGTATAATTTATTTCATGATATTTACAGGCACATGGGATTGGTCAACTCATGCCTCCCGGTGACGGGCGCAGTGGCAACACCCCTTAGATATTTGAGATTTATAATTTAGCCAGACAAATAACCATCCCATTATGATCTCGGTTCCTTAGCAGCAAAAACTTACGTTTGTGCCGAGTGAATCCCACAAAAGTTCCACAATAGCGTCTAATGGAAATTTTTTTGGCCAATGGCAGGCGTGTAAAAAAGTTATGATCATCTTCAAATTGTTGAAGTTGAAGTGTTAAGAAACTCGTCCAAAAACCAAAGGTCTTGCGGATTCGTGTGGCCAACCAGTAGGGCTATGACGGCAAAATTACGAACTCCAATAAACATGATTTTACTCTTACATTTTGGGCACTGTCCCCGTTTCAAGTTGGCAATGCTGGTCATTTACATGGAATCCCCTCTGAGACCAAAGAAAAGACGGGTGCTTATGGTCTTCTACATTATGTTCCGCTATCAGGTTTTGACATTTAGAGCGCGTACAGATCTTTGTCGATTTAAGTCTTCGTCGGTAAAAATTATCATCTAGAATATCGTCAACAAAATAGTTATACATATAATAACAAGTGACTTACGCTTCTGAGATGAGAGCTCGCAGCTTGCAGAAAATGATGCCGAGGCTGTAGGGGTACTGGTGCCAGTACACGGAGAGGTCGTTAGGCAAACCTGCACGCAAACACATATTAATTTGTTTTATACGTTGGGTTTCATAGTCGTGAATTATTGCGAAACTCGAAACGACCTTATGGTCCTAATTGTAGGGCTTAACAATTGCTTTCGATTATAAAAAGCATTTGTAAGCCATTTCCTTTCTTGTCGTTCTTGTGATATTCAAATGGGCAAAAAGTTACGACGGTCCGCTAAATGGAATGTGTGAACCGCCGTCTGCAGACAGTTTTCGACACAAAATCCTAAATGCGTTAATCATTCTAAATAAGTATTCCAACTAATAGGAAGATAGTATTAGTGACGCACCCTCAACATTAATGTTACGTAATTCGAAAAGAATTGTTCAGGAAAAGTAAAGCTTAGAGGAAAGATGTTGGGGCGTCTCTGACGTCGCGACCGTTTGCTTTGGAGGATTATAGAATTTTGACCAACGAATGAATTTCACCACCACCTTATCCTTGAAAACCGGAAAGCAGTAATGGGAATATTACTGCTTCGCGGCAGAAGTAGGTCAGATAGCAGTACTTCCGTGGACAAACTCTTTCACAGGGAGCTCTTCTGCTACTAGATTGGAGGAAAGAGAAGTACGCAAAGACCTAGACGAAGTTAGTTGTCTTTTTTGATACAAAAATCGAGCAAATACAATAAGAAAACTCCTTCGATCCTGCTGGATTAGAGTTCGCACCACCTACCGGAAACCTATAAAAGATTTTTTTTCGCTCAAAAGTATACATGAATATTAATGGCAAAAAACAGGATATTCAAAAAACTAAAATATTGAAGTTATTCAGACAAGATAAAAAGTTAAAGTCTTAACGTACCAAGGACTCAAACTTAGGACCCTGGACAGAAATGGTTGGCGATTATATAACCGACAAGAGCCTACGCTCTCAAATAGTAATAATTTATTTTTCAGTTAACATAAATCCATATCTATATATACTCAATAAAAGTTAGTTTGATTAGAATGACACATGTCTAAGTCCATGAACCAGTGGTGGGACATGATAAGTGAAATCGAAAGTCGATGAAAGTACATCGACTGAATTATGGGGCATGTTTTAATCAGTGTTATTTATATTGTGATAATTAATAACTGAATTAACTCGATAATTCATTAATGGCGTGGCGAACGGAGGTTACCCATACGTATAATCTCGCTATGACGTGATACTATTGTTTGTTTATTTTCGATTAATTTTCGTAGAATGGCACCGAACATACACATTGGAAAAACAATGGCCGAAATACACAATTTAATGGACAATAACGCAAAACACACACACAAAAATCATTGAAGTAACATTTCAAAAATTACCACCAGAGTACTGATTGTCAGAGTTGGTCGGCTCTATACTTTCAACGTGTCTCATCACAAACTTTATTCCATCTGACGTAACTTTACCGTGTTGTGAATATTTAAATACCTATTAATAATATCTTGGTATACTTAATTAACTCGAAAAGTGATTGATCAATGATTTGTGGGTGTCTATGATCATCATTATTTGATCGACCTCTCATTCTAATCAAGTGAAATTTTACGGTATCTAGTAACAGATTTGTAAACTATAATAGTATATTATTCAAAAACCTTGGTGTAGCATAATCTACAAACTAATAAAAATTTCCTCCATTTTTTAAATTATATTAAATGATTATACAAACAACTTTTTATAGGCATTTTTTTTATAATTTAAAGTGCTCATTTGGCCTCCATCTCACCTGATGGAAAGTGATGACGATGTAGCACGCACAACTAAATATTGCCTATTCACTCTCGCCTTGAAAAGGCCCAAGTAATAACGTTCAGGGAACAAGTCTGCAGGCAGGGAATTCCACTCCATAGCAGTTCGCCATATAAATGTGGAAGCATAACGCTTCGTGCGAATCTTTGGAATATCCACAACATAGGCGTGGAACCTTGGCAGCTCAACGAATTTTTAACACAACTATCTACGGCAGAAAGCTCGGCATTCTTACCGAATAGTCAGTTGAATACGAAAGTTCGGTAAACATAAAACGAATTTTAAGGCCCACCCCTATTTACATGTTATGTTCAAAATACTTTTTTTTTTATTTAGACCAAAAGAAATTTGGTAGTATGTAATTAATCTGGGTGAGTTTTCATTTGAAATGTCGTAACGCAAACTAATTTATTTGCAACCAAATTCTATTTGATGTAAATAGACCCTTCCTCCGTCAAACTGATGTCCGAATGATCACCTACGTTGTTTATTATCCTTATTGCTCTCTATTTGCCTGATTTTGTTTATTCTACCCTTTTTTATATTTGTTCTATACGTTTTATTCGCCTTATTTATTTTCTTTTGCGGAATTGGGAGCGTCTAGCTGCGGGTATTTCGAGATGAGCCTCGTGATCAAGTAGTTTTCCTTTGTTTGCTTTGACTGTATGAAAGACAAAGACATCTAAAACCTATCTGTCACGTTCAACGTTGACTGTCATTTTGGGCTTTAGAACAACAGAAATAAATAAAAATGACTGATGATGACGATGAGATGACATTTTTATTAGAGTAATAATGAAAACTGTCTTTATTGCGAATTTATTACATATGACAATTTTTTTCTTTAACATAAATACATATGCTCTCGCCCTTGCCCCACAGGAGGGGTAGGCAGAGACCACGGAACGCCACCTTACTCTACCCTGACACAACTTTCTAGCCTCCATACATCAATTACCTTTTCATACAACTAGTTTTTGGTAGCAGTAGAGTTCCTTGTGACAGAGTTCGTCCAGGCAAGTACTACCTTACCTATTTCTGCCCCCAAATAGTAATGTGAGCATTACTGCGTTCCGGTTTTGTAGGGTAACTAAGGGTGCTGGTGAAATTACAGGCACATGGGACTTTCCAACTTTAGTCTCAGGGTGACAGATTTCTTAGGGTAACGGGCATAGTGGCAGTGCCCTTTAGATCTTTGCGATTTAAAGCACACGACTTGTCGACGTTCCCACACTTGATATTATATATAAAAAAAATCTTCTTTTATTCTTGTCACTTCGGATCCCAGCATTTTTGAGGACATCTCTGGTCTGGTCAATGTAAGTCCTTCTGAGACGTCCTCTAAAAACCCTTCCATCCACATCCGCACCATCAAATATAATAGGCGATATTTGTTTTAAAATGGCAACACTAAAACTCGCATATTATTATTTGGCAATATGACACGAGAGTTTCAAAATGGCCAGCGTAAAGATAATAACGGTTTCCAGCGAAAAAATGTCATAAAATGAAACTGTTGAAGAAAAATTACTATATAAGATCTGGCCAGTACGGCCATCGACGCCGTAGCCTGTCCTGAAGGGCAATAAATTTTATTGCGACTGCTTAATACATGACACCATCGTGAAGAGCATCACAGTCAGTAAGTTCGGAATTCCAACAAAATGGAGGATTTTTTGGAAACCACAAGCTAATGGCTTAATGATCAGTACTCAATAAATAAATTATGAATAACGTCAACCGATCTCGATAAAAAATAAATTGTCCCTACATTTGAAGAGAGCTGTATTAAGTGTACATCTTCAAAAATAAATGGAGCCATTTCAGTAAGGGTGCCTTTACCATAATGTTTGTTTGATTGATGTTTGTAGTTTATTCAAGATGGCACTTCGCCAACATACTGGGACGTTCACTATTCCCGCGGTGCAATAATAAAAACAAAACATAAATAAAACTGAATAAATACATTATGCAAACTAGGCGCCTTGACGTCGAGTTGCGGACACCAGCCACAGTTACACCAAGCACCAAGTACCAAATACATTATGCTTTACGTGCCAAATATTAGGGCTGCCTTGGTACGTGATAAAAATGAGGCAAAGTTATGGAGGCAAAAGTATGACATAATTTGTACTATACAAACGATAAAATTGGTAAAATAGAGTAGTTAAATCCAGTTCCGGGTAACCGTATGTTTTTGTCTAATTTAGACGACATTCCACATACGCGAATATTTCGTATCGTACGCGAATTTTATAAGATTTGCGTGAGAAACCGGTTTGATCTTTTTTCTACCGACAACAAGTTTGTTAAATAATTGATAAGATACGGAATAAGAATGAATGGAAGAGCTACGCGCAGATCAGATTATTCCGACGGTGCTAAGCCTGTCAAACATGTGAAGGTAGAAAAAGCCTGATAGATCTGCCTACACGTTTAGTCGATAGTGGTAGATAAGCAGGAACTGCAAGGTTATTTGTAAGAATGGTGAAATAAGGGACTAGGGAAGTATCTTTAATATCGGAAATATGCTGCCCGGCCGCGATATCTTAAGTCTCCAAAGCCAGAAATAGTTGACTCTGAAAGATAGGTCCTTCAATCTGGAAGGCCTGAAGAAATCACTGCCTGTTTTCTAGACGCCTAGCTAGTTAATCTCATCTGGTGTTAAGACATCATGTCACCGAGGATAATAATAATGATGATGTGCCAGATTACCATACCTCAGACATCCTCACACACACACGAGTGGAGAGTGTGCGACAAATTGCGTAATTTAATTCTACCTTCCCCTTTCCACTAGACGTAGGCTGGGGTTTCACCCCTATGTTGTGGCTATTCTAAGGATTTGCACGAAGCGTTACGGTTCCACATTTATATGGCGAGCGGCTATGGAGTGGAATTCTCTGCCTGCAGACTTGTTCCCTGAACGTTATAACTTAGACCTTTTCAAGGCGACAGTGAATAAATAACTACCTGTAAATAAAAAACCAACCACCTGGTCTCAAGCTAGCGAATTTCCTGAACTATGGTGAGTACCAGAGTAAGGGAATTCACTCCGGGGCATTATCCAGAACAACCAAACCGGAACCAATTTTAAAAGCTCATTATCCGTTTGGTCCTACCGGGAACCGAACCCGGGACTTCCTCATCCAGCGGCCACTGCGCAAACCGTTAAATCACCGAGGTCGTCAAATATGGATATGCGTTTGTCTAAAAAATGCCTATTCACGCTTGCTTTAAAATAGTCTCAAATTGTAGTTTTTTTATAGTGCAAGTGACGAGACGAATAAGTCGTGCTGCTGATGGTAAGCTACACGCCTGTCCATAACAGTTTCAGTGTCACTCAGAGCTTTATATCCCAAAGATCCGAGGGGCACAGCCATCGCGCCCGTCACCCTGATACATAAGTTCACAAATCCCATGTGCCTGTAATTTCACCAGCACCCTTACCCTTCAAAACCGGAACGCAATAATGCTGACATTACTGCTTGGCGGCAGAAACAGGTAAGGTGACATTACTTCCCTATACGAACACTTTCACAAGGAGTTCTACTGCTACTCGTAATTTTCGTGAATCACATAATACCTTCAGTGTACTCCATTCCTTTGCTGTATGCATTAAGGAATAAGCAAAGCGCGTCTTGCAAATGGGTGACAAATCAACGGCATTAAGACGTTGAGCTTCAGGCTTTCTAGTCAACCAAAGGAGAAACGGTAAAGGTGGAATTAAATTGTCCCTGTGTACGCTCTCCGAAACGTATCTAACAGAAAACTGACAAGCAGGCCGCTTCTCTGCGATTTCATTTTAATGGATGTACTAAAACAGTTTACATTTACAGAGAACATAATTTGAGATACAATTTGAGGACTTCATTTAGAATGTTAACCTGTAATATTTGTACGTAATGCAAAACGTTAACATATTAGTGTAGAGAATACAAAAAAGTAAGATTAAAAACATAAAACTAGTTTTTTTTTATGATACGTTGTGACGGGACAAATAAGTCGTACCGTTGGTGGCAAGGGTCACGCCTGTCCATAAATATTGCAGTGCCGCTTAAAAGGTACTGCCACTGCATCTGTCACCCTGAGACTAAAGTTGGAAAGTCCCATGTGCCTGTAATTTCACCAGCACCCTTACCCTTCAAAACCGGAACGTAGTATTACTGCTTGACGACAAAAATAGATAGGGTGGCAGTACTTCCCTGGACGAACTCTTTTACAAAGAGTCTACTGGTATTGAAATTGATTTTAGTAGCAATAGAGCTCCTTGTGAATTAAACACTACACACTACACTATATTACACTACACTATATTTATTTACAGGAGTCACCTTACTAACCGCACGCAACAAGTAAAATTGTCGAAATCCAATGGTGCTTGCCTGGTGTCAGATCTGAGTGCTATTGTAGAATGTAGTTAACTTTAATTAGTTTTACTAAATTAACATAATTCCTGAATTGTAACTCTTGCAAATGTAAACTGTTGTTGACCCGAATAAAAAAAATAAAAATAAAATAAATAAAAATAAAGTTTGATTGTGATTGTCAATTTGTTGAAGCTTCAATTGCTTAAAACAGTTGACGCCAATAAGCTTTTAGCGTTTCGCCGAGTCCAACTCAACTGCCCGATGTCGGACAGGATGGTCACAATGCGTACCTAAATAAAAAATCTATTTTGTGCCACGTAAACGCAAAATACGTCCATAATATCACTGACTATATACAAGGCGAACGTTAAGACCCTCTCAAGCGATTTCCCAGGCGTGCGAATATTTTTAGGTTATCCAAATTGCGTCATACATTCAAGACTTTCGACATGGTTCTATCGTCAACTGTGAAAAGAAGTGGAACGTTGATGTCCCGCTTTATGGAAACAGCGTGTAGTTTTACTATAGTTTTAGGAGCAGTAGAGCTCCTTGTGAAAGAGTCCGTCCAGGAAAGTTTTTTTAGGGAGTATAGCTGCCGTTCAGGTTTTAAAAGGTTAGCGCGTTGGCGTAATGCAAACACTGCATTCGTCCCGAATCCGAGACTGTACAAAGCTCGGACCCGCTGCGGACATCGCTTGTGCACTAAGTCCGGATTCGAATCCGAGAAAATACAAATATCGCTTGTGATAACACCTAGAGAATAATATCTGCGACATTTCAATCAGACACTATCTCTACCTACACTTGGTCAAATTACTTACTAATTATTCTTTGTCCAACTAACAAGTTTGCAGTGTATTTTTATTACACGATCGAGTAAGTGCAAATCGTCACTTGAGAAGAAACTTAAACATTTCTTACATGGCATGGTGATGTCTGTAGCAGCGTCGGTCTGTAGTGCCCTTCATGTACAGACGATATGTCGTTTCGATCGATTGTCAGAACATTCTTATCGATCCGTTGCTACTCCCATAATATCCACTATCGACTCGTCGTCTCGATTAGTGTGAAACGACTTATCTTGAAGACAAATCGTCCCGTACATTGGGGCCTGTAGGTTTAAATTATTTTGCACGATTGAAAATGATAAATTGGCAACATTGGTGGATTGAACTGTCAAGGAGAGAATAGGAGGAAACAAGGAAAATACTAAATATATGAAGAGGCTGTATTGTGAAACCTTTGCCTAACCAAATAAATGGATGAAAATTTATTTATACAAAAGAGAATAGGAGTTGGGTGATGGCATGAGAGGCGAGGAGGTTGTGAAGATGAAAAAGGAGAATAAAGTGACGATTAATTAACGTAAAGGAATTTCATTATACAAGTACATGTATAGACAGAGGCGTTAATACGTAAATACGATACTATTCCTTCTGAAGAGCTCTTCGCAAATATTTGTTATTCGTTTAATATATTTCATTAACAATTTATCTATTCGTACTGTACGATTGTATTTGTATTATCAGTTTTTTATGATACCAAGTAAAGGAACGAACAAGTAAAGCGCCTGATGATAAATGACACGCCTATCCGTTATAGTCGCAGGACAGCTCAGAGTTTTAAATGGCAAACATCTGAGGGGCACTGCCAGTGCGTTCTTCACCCTGAGACATCCCCTTTTCAAAACCGGAGCGCAGTAGTTATACTCATATTAGTGCTTCGCGGCAAGAAATAAAGTAAGTGGCAGTACTTCCCTGGACGAATCTTTTCATAAGCAATTCTACTGATAAAACTCTACTGGTTCATCATCATCATATCAGCCAAAAGACATCCACTGCTGAACATAGGCCTAAAAACATATTAATTTTAAATGTTTTATCATAATTTACATATCAAACTCACTCACTCCCATATTTCAATTTAAAGTTAGCGTTATTTCTGAAAGTTATTGGAACTGCTTCCGTGGCCGAACGGTTAGCACGCTGCTCTGCCACGCAGAGGTTCCGGGTTCGAGTCCCGGGCCGGGAAAAATATTTGTATGGCCTACATTATTTCTCTCGTGACTTTGGGTGTGATTTGTGATTGTCTATGTGTGTGTTCATGGCACCCGCAATACAGCGTTTCCATCTAAAAACTTAAGAAATGAGAAAGCGAGGTAATGAACTCAGTGGAACAACGGTTGCTTCTCTATTATTGTGTGGTTGACACTTCGAATCCCTGTGGCGGCTTGTACAGTCAAGAGCACGTCAAGCTTAACACTTTGTACTTTGAACCGTTCTTATAGTAAGCGGCATAGAGTTGGATTTAAATCTTAAGTGTCAAGCTTGACGTGCTTTTGACCTTGTACCTATGGCTTTAATTTTTAGTAGATAGCAGGATTGTTAAAAATATCAGCATCCGCATATGTATCCGCGAATAATCTACATAAATTAACGCAGATATTCATTGCAGATCTTCGAGCCGTGACATAACCTTAAATAGACTCGCTGGGATCATTTACAAACCTTTGGGAAACAGACTGTACGCCGTAAAAGCAGTTGAGATGGTGCTTTTAAAATATAACTTTGATACAATTCCACAACGATTAAGCTAGGCAGATTTGTTGTTTTCATGCAGATTGATTCTTTAGTTATAAATGTCACAAAATAGTTGAATTAATATTCTATTACAA